GGGGAGAAGCCACCGACTAGAGGGCAGCAAAGCTCCAGGCCGGGATGCTGCTGGGGAAGGCAGCGGGGTGCCGGGGGACCCCTGCACCCACAGGCCGGGGGCTCGGGGGGCTGCAAGCCCTGCGGCGAGCGGGGAGGCAAGCGGGGACCTCCCGGTGTGGCTGGAGGGGCACGACCCCAGCCCTGATGCCCCATGGGTGGGATGTGCCCCCCCCAAAAAAGGTTGGTGCTGCACGCCTGGACCCGCGGCCCCTCGCTCTGGGGATGCTTTAAAGGTCAGCGGCAAAACCTGCAGCTGGAGGAAAAACTGCCGTAAAGCCTGAACGGCTCCGCGGTGGTTTCGTGGCATTTGTGGGCAGACGTTAACAGCTACAAATTTTGAAAGCAAACATTTGGGAATCTGTTCTTGTTTTTGTGTTTCTGTTGGTTCCCCGGTGCGGGGTTGTGTGTTTCCTCTGCCACAGCTGATGGCTGCAGTGACACATCCCCGTCCCCATCCCGGGCTTGCTCAGGGGCTCAGCACCGCTCCAGGAGGGTCCTGCCCTCGGGGCCTGGCAGGTGAGAGGAGCAAACCTGGATTTTTCCAGGAGATTGCTTGGGTTTGGTTTGGTTTTTTTTTTCCCCCTAGCTTATTTTTATAAATAGCAGCCAGAACAATCTGTTCCTTTTATTTATTTGTGTATTAAGTGGGGTGAATTTTAGTCCTGGCAGAAGATGCTGCATTGATGGCTTTAATAACTCAGAGCTCCCGTCTGTCCCAGCCCCAGCAAAGATGTGCCCCTCGGCTGCAGACCACGACCCTTGGGGGGCTTTGGGGCCATGGGCTGTGCCCGGGCTGTGCCGGTGCCCTGCGAGGCGGGGAGGGAGGTGGGCAGAAGGGGCTGGAGAAGGGGGCTGCGCTGGCCCTGAGCGCTGCGGACTGCCGGGCACCGCAGGATATGTCCCTGTCCCCTGCGTTAGTGCTGGCCAGGGTGATGCGTGCTCCTACACGCGTGGCTATGGGGACCCCCCACCTCTGTCCGCTCTGTCGGTGACCCCTCGGCCTGTGTGCAATGCCCGACTAAAGCCGTAGTCCCCTCCCCAGGTTGTGCATCAGCTTCTACCGACAGCTGGTTTCTGGCATCTCTAACCAGAAGATGCTCAGGCTTCTGATGAATGCTCAGTAAAACCAGTGCATTGGCTCTGTGGATCACATGGGACTGTCCAGAGCTGGGAGCCTCTCGGCTCCAGGCGTGTTGGGACACAACGGGCCCTGTTCCTGGCTTGCTGAGGGCCACCTGGAAGTCTCTCCAGTTCCAGCTTCCTGCTCAAACCATTACCCCAGGTAGTCTCCCATGGGGAGGCACAGGTTCTGCATCCCCCTCTCCCACCCCTCTCTCGCACCACCGTCCCCCACACCACTGTGCTCTGGTTGACGCGTTTGTGCTCACCGTTGATTTGGTTCCCTTGAAGGTAGAGGTTCTCGAGGTTGGTGCTGACCCGGGGGATCTTCTGGAGCCTGTTGTAAGAGAGGTCCAGCTCGAGGATGCTGCTGCTGTTGAAAGTGTTGGTAGAGAGCCCTTGGTTTGTCAGGCTGTTGTGGGACATCCGGACATAGAGCAGCTTGGGAGAGACCTTGAAATAGTCATCAGGGATCGTGTTGATGTAGTTGTACTCTAGGTAAAGCTGTTCCAAAGCCATTGGGAGCCCATCAGGGACTTTCCTGAGGTGGTTGTAGCTCAGATCAGCAAGGATCAAGGACTTGAGCCCTTTGAGGGATGCTCCCATCTCAAAAATGTAGTTGTGGCTGAGGTACAGGGCTGTGAGGTTCTCCAGACCCTCCAGAGCATTGGAGGGGACCTTGGAGATCTGATTGTAAGACAAGTGGAGCTCTCTCAGGGACCGGGGCAAGGGACTGGGCATCTTGGTTAGGTTGTTGTTGTTCATGTACAACCTCTCCAGGCTTTTGAGCTTGGCAAAGACCCTCTTGCCCATCTTCTCACTGGTGATCTGGTTGTTGTGCAGTGCGAGCCATTCCAGATCCGTGGCATTGTCAAAAGCCCCCTCTTGGATGGCGGTGATCTGGTTGTTCTGGAAGTAGACGTATTTCATCCGGGAGGGCACGAAGGGCAGGTACCTCAGGTTCCGGGTGTCACAGTACATGGCTGATGAGAAGTTAGGGGGGCAATCACATTCTTGGGGACATTGCCAAGAAGGGGCTTGCTGAGGTTCAGGGCCAGGCTCTGCCTCCATGTCTGGAGCTGGGAGGTAAGAGTACACGTAAGGTGTGTTCTCATCCTCGTAGTAGGGCATGTAGTTATAGGAAGACATACGGGACTGCCGCATGTAGTACTGTAACCAAGCCATGTCTTCTTCTTCATTGTACTGGCCCAGGGAGGCTCCGCAGAGCCCAGCGATGATCAGGACAGTGGCCCAACTCATGGTGCTGATGCTGGAGGGACATGAGGAGGGGGAGAGATGGGGGGAAAAACCATCAGCAGTGTCAGGTAAGGGCTAGAGGCAGGTGAGCCGTACCCCGTGGCCTGGGAATCCAGCGGGGTCGGATGTGGTTGGAGCCCTGCCTGGGGTTGGCGGCACTTGGCAGCAGAGCTGGAGAACCGGGCGACCTGAATGAATCCTACCCCAAAAAAATGCAGCTGCAGACATGTCCCCTGTTTGCAGTTACCTGATCTTACCCCTTTTCACCTCAGGCCTGCTAGAAACCTCCATCCCAGTGGATATTTGCTCGGAAAATCTTTACTTATGGGTATTTCTGTTACAACCGAGTAGAGGATGGAGATATGGGCACATGGTCCGAATTTGTGTAAGGTCACGCAGCTCTGCCCTGAGGTGCCTGGGGTTTGCCCGCGCTGGCTCTGCACGGGAGGGAGGAGAAAGGACTCGGCCGCTCTCCGGCCAAGTGGAGGACAGCGGTGGCTGTGAGAACAGGTTGATGGAGCTGAAGGCACGTATCGGTGGAGCTATATTTAAGCTACGTTCACGGGCGACATGAGTCGCTGTGGGTTTCATCCAGCTCTCCCTTCCCCCACAGAAACGCAGGATGCTCAGGCTGCTCGGGAGTGATGTAAATCCTGGTAAACAAGTTCTGGCTTATTTCTGAAATGAAACCACTTCCAAGCTTACATTTCCTGAGCTCAGCC